TGATGTATGGCCTCGATGCAGGGTATATTTTTGTTTAGCTTTCACTGCAGCGCGCGGCGGTGAGATCAGGCTGGGAGTAGATGTCAGTAGTGCTGCAGTCAAGAGTCAGAGTGAAGTGGTTTAAAAAGAAGAAAGGCAGCACGACTCGGGCCTTCGGTTTGTATTTGCCATTTCTGTTGTAGATGTGCAGTCCACTCCTTCTGGCACTATTATAGATCCCAGATTTGGTTTCTTATATAGACATATCTTCTTTTTTTTCAGTGTTGCTATATATACTTTGTTTGATTGTTTCTTTATAGCGGTCATGTGTGGCTTTGCAAACATAGCTGCGTGTGATCTTTACTAGTAGAATTATACATGCAGTAGCTGCTGAAGCTATTGGACTGAGCTCACAGTTTTGTTTGCATTGTTTTCTCCATTTTCTTTTTCCTTTATTTATAGTGGTTATAGATTTGGTGAATGCCTTTCTGCCACACTTGTTCAGATTAGATAAATCAGCTTCTGTGTTTTTTGGGCCATTACGTTTGACAAATGTGAGTTATTTGAGCTTTTAGTTTGGGGGCCAGAAAGAGAACCACATAAACAGACACAGATTCGCTGGGTTGTTTTCTGAATTGCTTAAAAAGAGATGATTCTTTCTAAATGCTTAAAGGATATTTCAGGTTTTTCCCTAGCACGCCCCCTCTCCCCTTCATTATACACCTCAGTATTTAGTAATTTCTTCAGTAAAGTGTGTACCTGTTGATTGAAGTTTGGCAGTGCGCTCTGTTTGGCAAACTCCAGTTCTGCCTTGTATTTCGTGCCTCTAATCTTGCAAACATGTAATGACACCAAGTCCATCACTGATGAGTGAATATTTACAATATCTCAGTGCCATCCACTGAGCAGCTCCGTGTCTCATTCAGCATTAGTGTTCTTCTGATAATTAGTTTTGTCCGTGTCAATCATGGTTTGCAGTTATATTCCAGCTTGGAATGTGAAACTTGTCATTTGGAGTAAAAAGAAGAAAAAAAAATTCCCCTGATTCGTTTTGGGGTTTACAGACAAGCATTTTGGACTTAGAAAAACTCCTTCTATGTTGTCTAAACTTTGCTTGCCTGATCCCACAATGTGCCCTTCTTTTCTCGCAGTGAGGTTTAGAGAACTTATTGCCCACATAATGCTGGGTCTTAAAACAGCGTGCTATCAGAGCCATTGTGGTCTGCAGTAATGGCTGGTTTAGGGGGTTGTGGTGAGACTCACTGCTCAGGGCTTTCATTAGCTCAAATCTCAGCCTAATTGATGCTCATAAGTTGCCTTGCATGATTAGGACTAGTGAAAGCCAACAAATGTCCTTCAACTTTTGAGGCATATCAACTAAATATATTTTTTTAATGTTCTATTCCAAGAAACATCAGAGGAAGGCATTAAGTCTTCTGAGACTTCTCCTCCTTCTTGTATTTTGTTTTAATGACAAATAATCTTCTCTTTATTAGCGCACTGCCTGTTTCCACTAAACGCAGCTTAATATTTAAATACCTGGAAAAACACAAACAGTTTTAAGGGCCTCACATTAAAATAAGACCAGCTGCCCAGCCCCCTCGCCTTTTTTTTTTTTATAAATCAGGACTGTAAGAAAAACATGGGAAATGTTGAAACCAGGTCAACTGCTAAACATATGGTGCCTCAGCATCAGGAGGAAGAAGTATAAATTATTATTTATGACACATTAATAAACAAATACATGCAGTTTCGCCTCTGTGTTATATTTATCAGCTTTAATTATTACATTTTAAACAATGTTTTTGCGACGGCCATCGGACTTTTTTGCGTTTTTATTTATTTTTTTTATTTTTGTGGATTTTATTTATTTGAGAAAACAATTTGAGATGTATAATTCCGTGTAATACTGTCGACGTTATTTACGTTATTAAAACCATTCCGTTTTATAATGCAGGTGTAATTCTGCCTTTGAAATTTCAAGCGGAAATGTACATCTAAAGAAACTTAAAGTTTCAGTTTCTCGTTTTTTCAGCGTCCTCAGAGATTCCGTGTTTTAAATACCTGTGGATTTTCCCCCATCTATGTTTTTTATTTATGCCATATTTTTACTTTAATTTTATAGTGTTTTGATTTTACGTTTTTTTTTGGGTTTTTTATTTTTTTTTTTTTTTTCGGTTTTTTTTTCCCCTCAAATACCTGGTTGTTGATTAAAACACCTGTCTTGATGTCTTGTTAATATTTTTCCAACGATTTTCACTAAACAGCTTTAAAACAAAGCTACGTGATTTTTTTTTTATTATTATTATTGCTAGTACAAAAACACCTTTCGATTTTTATCATCTTATTTTTTCTTTTCTTTTTTTCCGGAAGCAGATTCGTTACCTGAAGCTTGTAGAAGTTTCTGTGGGCCTGCGGTAAGTTCCGGGCTACAGTGGGCTGTGCTGAGTACACAGTGCGCGCTCACTGTGCTGTTATTTGTACTTTAATTAAGAGTTAAGAAAAAAGAGGGGGGGAACCGTGTTGTGGGATTATTTGGGGTTTAGAGGCACAGTTTGGTGTTTTTCCAATTAACTGGTCACTCTCCAACCAGGCCGTTGGGCATGTGTGGGCTTCAGCATCTGTAAAAAAAAAAAAAA